GGGCAATTTATGCAATAGGAAGAGAAAGCGGCCTTGCGTCAAACAATTGCAATGAGATAGTGAGATGACCATTGCAGAACGTGGTGTTTAGATACAGAAGCAAATTTGTAGAAGTTTACAGATCTCACGCAGGGGGGTGGAAACGTTAGACGTCACCAGGCAACGTGGATGTGAGATTGGTATCAAGAGCAGTTCATCAAGATTCCGAAACCACAACTGGGCAAAACAAGATCAAGAGGGTTTTTCTAGAACCTCCACTGGAAAGGAAGCAACCCACTCAATACTGGAAAGGCAGAAACACCCTGAGCAAGACAAATATCCCTAGAGCCCCCAGGAATAAGACCATTAAGAATATGTATGTAGTCCCAGAATGAGAAACGACAAATTAGGAGTGATGGAAATAAAAGAAAGATTAAAGTCTGCACAAAATCAAGCGTTTATCATGTGACCTGACCTACTATATTCCCCGCCAGAAAAAATAAAATATATATCTCAATCCCAACTTATCACTCAAAGACAACCAAAGCTATGTCTCAGAACCTGCTGCAGGAAAAAGAAGAAATACGAATCCAAAAAAAGCAAATGTAAAATAATCGTAATCTATCCGGACAACATCCCTATCGAATCGGAACAAGAGAAATTTAAAAAAAACCGATACAAACACAACACCACTAGCCCCGATCTTCCTTTTTCCGCTAAAACCCGATGAGAAATGAAAATGAAACAGAATGATCAAAACCAACTTTCGAAAGGAAGTGGTGTGACGAGTCCTGCCTTTTTTTTGTCGCTCAAGACCATACATCCTCCTGTAGGTGGGAAATTCGTCAGTTATCTTGCATGATGGAATAAAAACGGATACAAGATCTTGCATATGTGGGGAAGACGTAGACGAATATGCAAGTATCTGGAGGAAGGAGACAAACTTACTTGATAAAGGTTGCTAGATCTTAATCGCTTGACTATATCCTCTCCTTGGGTCTCGGTCAAGCCTCGCTCACTCGCGATGATCTTCCCCAAGGTAGAATTGACCTCCCTTGCCATGTGGGCTGCGTCTCCACAAACATAGAAGTAGGCACCTTGTGCGAGAAGCGCGTTTACTTCCTTCGCATGCTCACTCAACCTGTGCTGCACGTATACTTTCTCAGAACCTTCACGTGAGAAAGCAGTGATGAGCGAGAATGAGTCGCCGAGTTTTGCTGCATATTCCTGCCGATTAAGTTAGCGAAATGCATGCACCCACATAATGTATTCAAGGATTAACTAACCTTCCACTCATCTTGATACAAGAAATCCTCAGCTTGCTTCCTGCATCCGAAAAACAGCAAAGTTTTCCCAACCTTTTCACCCTTCGCGGCAAGTGCGGCACGTTCCTGAACAAACCCGCGGAAAGGAGCAACACCAGTACCAGGTCCAATCATAATAACAGGCTTTGAGGGATCGCTGGGGAGTCTGAAATTGGAGCTACGGATATGAACAGGTACATGAATGCCATCATACTTATTGCGAGGACCATTGATAGAGTATGTGAGACCGTGTGGATCAGGTTCTGGATCACCGCCCTGTTTCTGTTTCAAGGCAAGGAGATAATTTGTGGTAACACCTTTCAAGACATTCGCGCCCCCAGGGACACGGACAGATTCAACAACTGCGGTAACAGAAACAAGTTTGGGCTGGACCAAAGACGACGAAGAGATCGAGTAGTATCGGGGCTGGATGCGGTTCAAGCCTTCAATCATCATTGAGAATGGAACATTCGACCAAATCTCACCAGGGGCCATCTTCTCTAGGACTTGTGCGATGTTGAGGTACTGCGAAGAGATGGTTTCCTGAAACTGATCTTTGTCTCCACCGAGAGTTGTCATAAGCTCTTTTGCAGCTGGAGTTGGCGCGAATGGGGCAAGTGAGGCAACGAATTGTCGAGAAACAGGCGCGCATATCTCCATATGGTATCGGACAATAGCATCGTAGGTGGTCGGCGTTGGGAAAGGAACCTTGGCAGTAGAATCAAGACCGGTGACATCAATAACGGAGTGACGCTTTCCCGCAAGTCCAAGGGTGTTTATAAATCTATCAACTTCCTTGCCGGCGTTCGTGGGCCAAACAGCAATATGATCGCCGGTAGTGTACGAGAGGTTAGAGCCGGTAAGATCGATCTCCATATGCAAACAATTACGGTCTTTAACAGTGAAGAGTTCCTTTGATTTACTGATAGGTGCGATAAACGGATTGTGAGCGTTGTAGGGTCCCTTGGACTTGCCTTCGAGGTGGTTCTTGTTGGGCTCTCCGAGGTATACAGTATCGTCTTCGATAGAAAGGTCTTCCCTCTCCTTAACCGCAAAAACAGGTTCATAGACAGCCTCCCTCTCTTCTAAACCGAAATCCTCAGCGAGAGCAGTCCACATGGGCTCCTTCCAAGCCAAAAAGTCCTCTTCCATAGTTCCAGCGCCATCATCACCTTCTCCGGCGGTTCCGATTCTCTTGGCGCCGAGTTTGGTAAGGGAAGCATCGACACGGCGAACCATGGAATTGTAGTGCTCATAGGTGTTATTTCCGAGACCAAAGGCGATATATTTCAAGTTCTGTAGAGGTTTGGACTCTGGATCTCCGCCTTCGGAGAAGGCGGGTTCTTCGTTCATGAAAAATTCGTAAAACTCGACAGCATTATCGGTGGGTTCACCTTCACCATAGGTGGCCAAAACAAAAACAATAACCTTATCCTGGGGAAAGACGTCCAAATTATCAAAATCATACTCCTCAAGATCAGCGACCATAGTCTTAAGTCCGAATCTAGCAGCACCCTCTTTCGCCAGCCTAGAAGCATAGTCCTCGGCAGTGCCCGTTTGCGATCCATAGAAGATAATCATATTCTTGTCTGACTCGTCCATCTTCTTGATGATGTCACGTGTTTTCCCAGCTTGGGCCCCGTTCAATTTTGATGCCGCAAAAGCTTCATGCGACGTGTCCTTCTGAACCGCCCATAACGAGCCCTTCGTGAAGTAGGCGGCGGTTCCAAGAAGAAGTGCAGTGAGGACAATAATGTCCAAGGTATCGAGTTGAGACGTCATGATTACCTTGGAGTTCTGCAGAGAACAGCAGTAAACCCAAAGATTAGCTGGTTGACGTTCAAGACAGGAAGAAGTTGGAACGTTGACAAAATATTTAAGGTGTGAGAGAAATCGGTGAGGAAGAAAGGGGGACGGGGATGTGTGGCGTTGGGCTGTAGCCTTATCTGCAACTGATCTGAACAGCTGTACAAATCAATAGTTGAAAAGAAGAACTCCACAGAAACACCAAATTAAATATTGATAAACACGCAGATTTTCCAGAAGATCGAAGACCCGGCAGATCTTTGAAAGGAATAAATGACAACTACGAAGCCGAGAAGAAGGGAAACGGAAGACGAGGATATCCTAAACTGGACTAAACCCGTTTGATGCACCTCTCTTCTCGGCTGTGGCCAGCCGAAATAAACAACGACATCGAGAAGACCCGACGTCGATGACAGGTCTGGTAGCCAACCAGCGCAACTTCGGACACTTGTGCTTCTCAATGTGGCAAGGCTGTGATGCAGCGAAAATCTCCCGTATTGCTATGCTAATTCATGTGGGGAAGTAACGGGAATCCGGAGTAAAAATAAAATAAAAATTGCGCCACTTACATACTGGTTTATTCTCGTCTCATAACCTCCTAAGAGAATCGATTTTTCCATTATGTCAGTTAGTGTGTTCTTCTCTGGAGTCTCCGGAGAGAAATGTAGCCGGATCTGTTTCTGCGGGTGATTCACGACTCTGAGCCAGTGCTTCCAAATCAATACTCTTATCCGGTAGGCCTTGCACGTTTGGTCGTATTGTAGGTGTCTTAAATGCAGATAACGGCCGGCCAGCTAGTAGTACCTCCGAACTCAGAATCTAGTATCTGTTATATCACTCAGCCTCGTAACAAACGACAGCTGAGCTGAGAGATTATATTATAGCAGGTTCAGGAGGCTTCAGGAGAGTTTGGCGGGATCAGAGTACCAGCAGGGTGTTTCCCTAGCTGCTATTCTAGCCAAATTTAAGGAATTTCAAACCCTTATACTCGACAATGTTTCTGATTACACGGATCCATTTTTTTTTTTTTTTGGTTTTTTTTTATACCACAAAAACCCGAGTACCAATGCTGATGTTGGAATTAATCCGGAACGTCATACTATGTAAACTCGGCTCCTTATCGAGTCCCGAGTAAACATTCGGTCCGAGTATCGCGGTATATCACCCCAGATATACGTACATGTACAGCGCCGGACAGTCAAAATCAACCCTCATGTTCTTTTCAAGCCAGAAACTAGTCCTAATCGGGTAATAACGATCATCTAATTATCCCAATATGGTAAGAATTATCCCAAATTAATGTGGCCGCCTTGGCATAAAGCTATTAAAGTTATTATTTCACACCTATGTTTTTTTCGGGCAGATTGCACCAAATGTTTGAGAGGTCATAGTGCAGCCAGTTCTTAATTATTTTAAATCCCCTTTTATGGGGATGTTTACAACTATGATTAGACCCATTTTACAAAAGAACATTATTTCTGGATAAGTGTTGCGTTGTTGAAAGTCGATGGGGTGAAGGGGAGTCGGTGGTTGCTCTGGCCGGCTGGTTTTGGCTGTCCGACACCGTACATATCAACTGGTCGATGCTGAAAGCCGCGCCGAAGAGGCTCCGAAAGTCATATCTCCGAAGGTTGTATCGAAGTCCTTGTCAGCTAAAACTTTGTGTCACCATTAAATATTCACATGTGCATACACGGAATTTCCCACTCGCACCAAAGATGTCTTATTTACACTTTTCGATCCATATAGCCACATACCACCAAGTCGCCCTGAGTATAAAACTTTCATCTGCGGTATTTAGAGCTACGATTCCTCCTCCGGACTTCCAAAAGTCGGAATCGAAAACCTTAGTTACGCACTAACTCGCACACAGCCCCAGCCCCCCAGCTCCGAATCGTACATAACTAACACATGGCTAGGTGCTTGGAATCTCGCCCTGCATACCGACTCGAAAGCTCGTACCAATCTCCCCACCAAACCGATTATGATCGTCCATCAAACCCCGGACTCCAACCCCCGCAATATTACATGCCCCGGAAAAAGTAAAAAGCGAAAAAAAAGAAAAGAATCGTGATTCAGAATCACTCTATGTACATACTCAACGGGTCCAAGTACATATCATATTCATCCTCGATTCTAATCTTCATAGATTCATCACTTTCATGCCCAGAATCGAGCCATGATATCACACGCCAACATTACGAGTCCCCCGAATCTAGACCTTCCGTCCATCGGCAACCCGCATACCTCCTGTGTTAGAGTCATGTGCCCAATCACCTGAGCCGCTTATGCGGCAAACGTTCAATTTGTTTCTCGGCCACGGGGGGAGCACACCAACTAGGCATACCGAAACACCTGCGACGCATGTATCAATGATATTACTGCCAAGACGACCATTTCTGTGATATTTGATGAGGTATGAGCTCTCACCTCAAATATTGGCGGCAATGACGGCTGCGATCAACATCAATGTGGGGCTATGGGTTGCTTCATGGTCTGTCACTCGAATTAGCTACCGCGGGTGTGTAACGTTTTTTTTTTGTTTAATTTATTAATTGCATGCAGGGTGTGTAACGTTCCACGACCGGATGAAAAGGCTTTTTTTTTTTTTTTTAATTCATTAATTGCATGCAACCTTTCAGTTATGGCAATATCACACATTTTCTCCCCAGAACGCCTCTCCATCCGCCATCTTCAAAAAGAAAGAAAGAAAAGTAACTATCTAAACCTGACAATTTTGACTCTGTCTCTTCTTCCGTCCTCCCTTCTGGGCCGGATGAAAAGGCTAAATGTGTACCCATAATTGATCCCGTGAAAAGCATGAGAATTTGGATTTTTGAGGGTGTAACAATACTTTCTGGTGACGTAAAGGAATGGGCCGCGATATGAAAACCGTTGTAACTGTGGCGAGGGAATTGCCATAGCCCCCCCATCATACTAGCCAGATAGATAGTTACAAGTCATCAAGGTCCGTGTTAGGAGGGGTAACCTGATCACCGCAAGCTGCTCAGTATTCTTTACTATCTATTTCCTGTCGAGGCGAACTGGCCCCTAACTTTAATAGTATCTGCTCAGGTTTCCTACTCAGTGAGTTCCTATCGAGTGGGACTCCGCATACAGATATTCCTTGGCAACAGGTTTGGTGACCAGTTTTTACGTAGTAGATTCCAAGGCTCGGTTGTTTGGGAAATTAAACTAAGTAGATGTAGAGAAAGCTAATGTTTTACCTCTATATTTGCCAATCTGTAGAAGCTCGAGAGTTATAAAATGGGAAAATGTTGAAATTGGACACTCGGCCATTAGATTATTAGGGAATAGCTCTTTGCTTCGAAGGCAGGACATTGTCGGCCAATTCTGTTCTAGTATTACTTTGATGCTGTCATATAGCCGGTTGACTAAGTACCACCTATATATATATTTAAACCTTTATACTAATTACAAGATGTATTGATTTAGCTAGGGATGGACGGGGCGTGCCATGGGTTACAGAGTATAATCATAACTTCCCGGTTAATTATATTGTCATTAGTGAGAACCCTCAAAGAGTTCCCCGTCTAAGGATTCACCACCGGGTGTGTCCCTTCGTTCGTTTTGACTTTGCCTGTTTTACCTAGCCCTCGCTCTTCAGTCCATTTTTGCCCACAATCACTGTTTGTGGCCTTCTTGTCCCCTTTTCTGGAACCACCAACTTCTCCTCGTAGTTAGATTTTTGCCTATCATTACTGTGAAAACCGGGCACGAACGAAGGGATGGGCCTCATTGAGTCTTTTTGTGGCGGTGGTGTAGATTACCGTACCAACTGTGGGCCGGGTATCACGGCAATTATCCCTTAAGCTGTCGGTTCTGACCTCCATACATATAACAGAGGAATTAGATTTGTATGAGAGATCTATTATTTGATAAGAGAGATAACGTCAGGATCTGTTAGTAAAGCCACACCAAACTTGCTTTTTTTTGGTGGGTCAGTGTTTTCACAGCTTAAGGGATACCGAGATTTTTCAAATGAGAGTTTTTCAATCTACCGCTTCCGCGGCCTTAAGGCCAATCCAACATATAAGAAGAATAACCACTATGACGTCAATTTATAAAATGAGCTCATTTGTCCAGATTAGGAAATCACATGACTTGTTGATTTCTGGGCCGAATCCTGAGTGTCAGGACTTTTGAAACTTGAGATATTGTTCTTGAATCATAAAAAATCACTCGAATGCCAATGCCCGGTATGATTGATTGATAATTCATTGATTCCGATGCCTAGTATAACGTACACTTCAATTTTATCTTCGCATTTCTGCACCTATAAATGATAACTGGTAAGAGTAAATGTTTGAGCATTGATCAGGCGGAGATTGGTAGGATTGGATATTGGATAATATCTTAATAATCGTAAAAGCTGGTATTGAACATAGTACAAGGGAAATAATCCAACCACTATGGAGCTTCTGATAGACACATGGGCGAGAGCTCAATATAATACGATAAATCGTATCGCCCAATGCGCACCCATGGGCGTAGGCGGCTCCAGGTAGGGAATAGGCTTGGGCAGAATTTAACTAAGAGTGCTCTAAAATAAATTGTAGTACATCTAAATAGTATAATCTTCCTCGTTGTGGTCAGGAAGCATTACCATTGGTTGATTTTCTTCTATCAGGACTGCTATGTGTGATGGACAAAGAGCGGCTCCCGAGTTCGGAAGGGATACGACATGTGTAGCATCTACTTTCATAGGTTGGTAGTTTGCACTGACTGTTGATATAGATCTATAGATGTTATGGAAAATTGATTTCGTAGATAGATTTGACATTGCATAGGTTGGACATGTACAGAATTACTCCTCTTCCTTAGGCTTAAACCTTAGCGAATTTGCGGCCGGAGGCTGAATTTGACTCGTACATCATAAGATAATTCTTTTTCAACTTTTGGTGAGACAATTCTATATATACTATATGGTTTTGGCGTTTTAGGGCCGGGACTCGACACCCGGAAGACCTAGGCATCAATGCCTATCATGAATTTCAATAATGAAAGAATTGAACTTTGAATAAATACCGAAGTTTGACTTGAGAAACCGAATATACAATATACTATCTAAGTTATAATATCAGCATAACTCTAACAGCATTATCTAATGATTTATAGAGAGACTCACTTCATTATCGGGAATCCAAGCCCCTGCTGGTAATACCGGTTGATACAAACCTTGATCGACATCCATCTACACAAGGTTAGCTAATTATATCTGAATGTAGGTCTCTAGTTCTAGAATAGAACTTACCATTTTAACACCTTTAAATTCCTCGGAGATAGCGCCAGCGTCCTTCCACCCTTTTGGCTGATTAACACCCATTGCCCACGTCGAGAGTGATCCGCCCGCCTTGGATTTTTTCGCAGCATCAGAACAATGATCATGACACCCAAATGGCGGATCACCAAGCTGCGCTTCACAGAGAAGAAGTAGGGCAGCCCCGCCGGATATTGAAGGATACACGTATTCACAAGACTTGGACGAAACATCAGCCAGGTAAATACCCTTGCCGAATACATAGCCATTTGCTGGTGCCTCTGGGGGCGCGATTCTCAATCTTTGTGATAAAATACCACCGAAGTTGGTACTCCTTGACCCATGCCAAAGTAGTTTTCTGGCATCATCGATGTTGTGCATCTTTTTGACGTTTTCGGTTGAATACCCGCTTTTTCAAAGCGTTCAGCTTCACCTGGACGGGTAATCCGAAAGATGTCGACGACATTTGCACGAGAAAGGCGTTGGGATTTGTGAAAGTATGCTTCGAGTTCCGCGTGTTCGGTTGTCGATTTTTCAACTAGTTATCGACCCATTAATAAGGAAAAACTGTATTAGGGTACATCATATGGGTGGACATCTGTGAGCTCACCCAGAGTTATCTCCTCCAGACCCAAAGACCTGAATTGCTTGTCCAAGGGATTTATAGGGTTCCCATCGGCATCAACCGGATATTCAGCAGCTTTCATAATCTCATTTGTGATCTCCATGTTACTTAGAGCTTCAACTAGCTCTATCTCTTTTTTTTTAATATGTCCGTGCTATCAATGACAGGCGGCCTACGCCTTCCGAAATCATGCGGGATAACAGTGTAGTATTTCGACGTCAACTGTTCTAGCACTTTCGTCAAAGATTGCTTATACTTTGACTGCGCCAAGTTTATGTTGGCTAAAATTTCATCAAGATCTTTCAGTGCCATGGGTCCTTGGGAGAGAGTCCTCTTAGACAACTTTCCCAAAGGAAGTTTGTTCGCATTATAGCGCATAGCCTCCATTGAGGAAGCCATGTGTTGTGAGTTGAAAATGAGGTTCATCAATGACTGTAGCCCTGGTGAAAGTGTTGAATGCAAAACCAGTTTCTTCCCACTGTTGTCATCCTCCTTTTTGCCCTTCCCATCTGTTCTATCCTCCTCATCCTCTGAATCCATATAATTCCTTTCAATAAGTGTATACTTTCCTATTTTTGGTGCGTCATATCGATCCTGCCATTTGAGGCCTGTTTTCTCTTTGAATCTTGTTTCAAATTTTTTAATGGCCTCCTCAAGAGTTTTGGGACAATAGAGTGACTGCTGTCCCTCTTCGCCAACTCTACCCCATTGAGTCCAGGTTGCGTAGTCTAAGTTATCTCTAGATTTAAGAAGCTACTAAAATTAGTGAGATATTCTAGGGTTGGAGGATGTCCGACTAACCTGGAGATTATAGTATTTGTTATTATTTTTTCCATTCCCGATATTTGTTTGACTAAGAGAGGCATCGTAAGGCGTTCCGTAAATGTCGGTATATACGCTGCACCAGTCTAGTGAATTTTTCTTTAGCTTATTGCTTGATTTTGTAGGCTTGGAGTGTGGGAGTTTATACATTTTTCTTCACACCAGGGAGCCACGGGTATATTCTTGGCTTTCGCTAAAGTCATGCGAGATTCTCCTGGTTTCACAGAAAACTGTGCATTTTCTGAATCTGTTTCTTTTGTCGGGCTTTTTTTTGTATCGATAGCTGTTTCGGGCTCGGACTCGGACTCGGACTCGGCTTCGATGCTTTCCTTTTTAGACCCCCCTCTTTTCTTAGTCTCCATTTTTCGGTTCGGTATTAAACCCGCATCTTTCATTTCAGTGTCTTCGATCTCAGGTCCTAGTTGCGCCGCGTTTCTGGTACGCCTTCCGCCTTTTTTAGCCGGTTCCACCGGCTCAGTTTCTTTGACTTCCAGATTCTGAACAGTAGGGCTAGGCTCTATGACTTGATCTGTAGCTCTTCCTCTCTTGTTTAGCTCAACCTTCACCGGTTCAGGAGCTGCCTCGGTTTTTAGTCCATCTCTTCGCCCCGGCTCCTCCTCAATTCCTGCCCTCTCTGCTGGCTCGTCCATAACGACATCTTGATCAACAGGTGATTTAGCTTTTGCATCTGTCTTTTGACCTCTAGTCCTTGGCTTTTTGATGGTATTTGCTATTTGTTCCTCAGATTCGTCCCCCTTTCTTTTCTTGGGGTCTGGTCGAACAGGTTCACCGTTGCTTACTCCCCCATCATCATATTGTAGATATTGTTCTTCAACAAGATTTTTACCCTCCTTTACGGAGTCCGTCAGCCATTCTAACCTCACAATTGGGATTTTCTTTGCCAATGCAGCATTAACTAAAGCCCACTCTTTGTCAGAACGTTCCTTTCGCGCTTTACACTTGTTTTTAACAAGATTAAGGATAAATGAGAACCTTTATCATTCGCATTTATAACGATATCCGGTATGACAAGATGTGTGCAAGTACTTGAAATACCATTCTCGAATTTCGCTCCATTCTTGGTAATCAGAACTTTGAGTTTTGCTACACACATAGGTAAGCTCTAAGCACTGAAATGTAAGTATTATTGGGAGTGAGTGATCGTGAACCTACCTTGGGTATAACCGGGGAACTTTCCGCATACAGAAATAGAGCATCCAGAAAGCGCAGGCATAATTTACTGGCCGGTTAGTTAATTTTTCTAAAGGATATCTGGGCAAATTTTATAGAGAAAAAATATCTTTCGATTCGTGCGCGACATTCGAATCGCGAGCCAGATAGGGGTAGATATATTTGCCAGTTAAAAGAGATCCCTTTACAGGGATGCCTTATCGAGCCTTATCAGTTGGAGTCATAGCCAGCCACCGGCACCATATTTCCTTGGAGGCAGTAACGACATTTCGCTCATTGCCTACATCAGGAAGCTGATATGACAGAGATACATACACAGTCAATAAATGTACTCTAGCTATATGACTCATCTGTAATGCTATCCGGGCTTAACTACATGTATAGTGGCCCATAACTGTTAGTTTAATTGTGTAATATAGATGTAGTTTTGTGAGGTAGTAAAACTAGTAGGGGACATTGGGATGAGTTTGGGTACTTACATGTACCTGCCATCAGTGCGCCAAAGTAAGCTTTGCTTTCGACTCCCAGTTAGGTTCCCCGGAAGTTACAAAGTCGGTGAAAGATCCTAGTTGACAGGGGTTACGAACGAGTGATAGCTTGGGAAGCAAAGCACATGAAATTTTTGGATTGATAGAGAATTGAAACGAAAACAAACAAACAAACAAAAAATCAATTTTTCTATTGCTATTAGAGAGAGATGTGAGGCAACTGTAGCAGGTACCACCGATTCGGAGTTATTTATATGTAGCCGTTGCATCACCAGCTCAATTCTTAACGTCCCATGTAGGGCCGGTACTAGGCAGTGTCCTGCAAATTTTTGTCTGTAGGTACTTGGAGTCCTGAGTAGAGCCTACCTCTTTAATAAATATCACTTGGCCTAGCTAGGGGTAGTCAGCACTTGCATATCCATCCCCGTGCGGATTTTAGTACATACATCTGACGTGAGAAGGGGGAGTTCTGGTAATATTGAATCCAGTTCGCTTTTGAGGTGAGGCAGATCGTGCCCTTTTTCTCTGAAACTCTAGGAGATCCAAGGTGTTTCTCATGAATTGAATAGTCTCATTTCGTTCTTCTATATCCTTTAGAATCTGCATTACACCCCCTCTGAGTTTTCCCCAATCGTTGCATTTTTCGTGCGCCTGCTTAAGTAGCAAGGCTTCTTCTTCCAGCTCATCAGTTGGCGGCGAAACTTTGGGGGCTGTTGCCGCGAGGGATTTGACTTTGGAGAGTTTCATTTGAGGTAGAAGATTAGGCTGTTCGGGACTAGAGTAGCGAATAGTCTTATCCCGAGAATGATATATATACCGGGATGTCATTTTGTGATGTTTGTTATATGGCCAAACGATTGATGGTTTCTTTAGTTTGAAAATTGTCTATCAAAAAACTATCACGATGAAATGAAAACGGCTATATTTGAAGTGCTCCTGTAATTAAAAATGTAGCCTCATCTAATTTGACTGGGTGATAGAAGCTACATGTCGTTTCCGGAGACCCGGCACCCCATATTTCATTAACGTGTCTCTGTGACCTAGGGGGTATTCGGAATGCGCATGCGTAGGTACAATATACCATGTATCCGCCGACGAATTTATAGAGAACGGGAGCGACAGCGGCCTGATGGTTAGGGTTAAACAAGATTGAATTGCGGCGACCATGCCCTCTCCATCAGCGCCGCCTGTGCATATATGCGCGCCAAGAATCAATTGAATGGCGCCGGCTCTAATTGAATATAATTTTTTACAATTGACTTAAGGCCCAAGAGGGTGGAAAGTCCATGTCTAGCTGGGACATTATGTATGTGCCTACATAGTACATGTAGGTGCTCTACTAACCTGCATATACTTTAATGCCATGCGAGATACATGGTACTCGGGGCAGGTAAGAAGAACCTGAAAATGACTTTTGATGGTAACAACCTCTGATTCGCGGCTGGCGAAAAGCTACACCAAATTGAGCACCTGCTTGCAGCTTGCATTTTCAGGTTCTTATTGCCTGCCCCGAGTAAATACTCTACAAAACATGGTACTAGAGTGACAGAGATTCATGATCGGAAACCCACTGGGCTGGGTTGGAATGTGAAATAAAATATACTGCCCAAGGTACGGATCTGTGGTGCCGTAATTTTTTAATATACAGATAAAGTACTCTATATCCGCATGCAGGTCGAAGCACTTTATAATTGCATATGTAGTTCGCTCTAGCTGAAGAACTGTCACACTTCAATTACAGTACCGACTGAATGTAAAATGCACGCCTTCCTCTCATCTCTAACTTTGCTCTCTAGAGTTACACCGCAACACCATAGAAGACGTTTCATCATTTCCCTCTCAGAACCCCGAGCACATCACTGCTCAGATACTCCCACCGGAATACGAGCACAATCACAATGCGTTACATGTTCTTGCGCTTGGAATCTGTTGATGAGAGATTGATCGATTGATTGATCTCAAATTGGGCTGCACGGATGTCAGATCGTGATGGTGTTCATCTCGAGATCAATTGTCACCACATGTACAACCAACAACCAATTGGCACAAACAACCTTAACCACAGCCTTGTCTGCTGTCGAATAGAAACAGATACTATCATGGGTCTCTCACTCTACTACTTGAAACAACCTCAGACAAAGAACGCCTGAAGAGCGGCCCCACTCTATCAAAGCTCCAGTACGTATACTCCAGAGTGCTAGAACTTCCTACAACCCATCGTTTTCATCGGGTGACGTTACATGAAACGCCATCATCCCCTGTGTGCGACACGAAACGCACTTCATCGCTTACTAAGCCATATAATGCCGCAGCAACCATTGTAACAGAGCTATGGCCAACTTCCCACCTCCTATCCTAACCTCACCTCACGATCACCATCGAAATTCGCCCAGGTGATCATGCTCCGCCTCTGTTATCTGGCCCCCGTTTGAGAGAGCCAGTCCGATATTCAATCATTAACCCTGGAAAACCACCCCCCTGGATTCTGACTGGATTTCCCCTGTCGTCCCAGCGCCTCAAGTCGCATTTTCTCTTGAGACGTGCGTGCCCTAGTAATCCATTACTCTGTGGTTTCTTCTACCCCCGCAGAAACCAAGCTTGAATTTCTCCATGCCAAATTGTGACATATTCTGCGACCTTCGAATTATTGCCTCCCTTCCGCGCGCCTCTCGGCGGTAATTCTTTCCCGCGTTGAGATTTCTCCGTTTGTCCATCCCCCCATATATCCACTCCCCTGCAATATAACTCCTGCGCTATGGCCGGTGCCCACCAACCACGGTCCCAGTCCCCACGGCCCGAGACCGGAAGACTTGAGCGAAAGCCCTCCTACAGCTCCCACGCACACCACCGCCAGACTTCCATCGTTAACGGCATACAACATCGATCCGGCGCCCACTCTCGATCTGGCTCTTGGGTCAACTCACCTGCAACTTCTCCGTTGTCCCCGCCACCGGTAATGCATGCGACTATTGGGCCAAGAGATATGGTCCATATACCTCAGATACCTCCATCACCGATGACACCTATGATACCTGCGGGCGGTTCAAACTCACTCAGGGAGCAGATACAACTACCACAAATACCTTCATCACCGGCCACTCAAGGTGCACCCCCCATGACAGACGGAAACAATATGTCTTCAAGTTTAAGTCTAGGAGGCGGGGGAGCTGGCTTAGGTCCACCAGGTCCACCAGGTCCACCCTCGATACCGCAAGGTCTTAATCAAAACGGCACAACGCAGTTCCAGAAGCCACCGAGAAATCGGTCTCACCATCATTCACACTCTCACCATCACAACTCTCATCCACGGACCCGTGATGAAGAAACCAAAACCCCTGCAGAATATGCACTTCATATATTGTTTACACAGTTTGTGCGAGTCGCTGAACGAAAGATTAATACCTGTTTACCCCCGAATCATCCTTTGGACATCGAACCGCATATCGAAACCATTTGCGGAGCAGGGGTAGATCCAGCTTTTGATAAACTGATTGGTTCATTAGGTTTGCATCTCTGGAACCCGGGCTGGTGGATATAGATAGGTAGACTTACATAGGATCACATAGGATATATTGCTCGACACAAGCCGAAACCTGTAATTGATAGTGTAATGTTCTGGAGAAAAAGCAAGAGTGAAGCGGCTGCTCTATCACGACAGGAAATGTCACAGGTATCTTATAATCGGGCTATCACTTGGTCGAATTAAACGCTGATATTTTTATAAGCAAGCACGCGGCATGCCCCGGCGAAATACTGAACCGCTCGGTAATGGTGGTGATGGTAGCAGCTTTGGCCTGCGGGAAAACTCAATGGTAGCAGACAGGCGATCAACTATCTCAATTTATATACTATGCCGAGTCTTGATTGAAGTGATAGGCCAGACAACCCTAGAATGCGTCACAGAGGATATGGCGGACAAGCTGGAAGATATCATATTTAATCAATTGCGATCGGCAGACCCGGATACATTACTATCTTCGCCTTTAAGGATGGCAAATTGGACATTGTTCGGTCAGCTTTTGGGCGTCATGAGTAATATTGACTTCGAAAGGGTCACTGACCGTTTTTTTGCGGATTTGGAGAAGATGGCCAATACTGCCAACAAAGATACGGAAGCAAGAGTTGAACTTGTCGTAAAAGGAATGAGCTATATCAAACTAAAGGTTCATATTCTCCGTCATTTTGAATACTCATTTTCCCACTTGGGCGGTGGAATTATTATCTATATTATAGAGAGCCCCAGCTCACATATTTTTCTCTCTTCAACGTTGTGAACAGTTCTTTCCCGAAATAGCACTTCAAGAATCCGCCGATTTTATGGTATCAATGGCCAATTTCTTCGTCAAATCCCATGGTTTCCGCGCGAAACGTGCATACTGCGAAATCTTTTCAAAACTTCTACTCCCTATCGCTCCCACCGCTAAAACAGAACTCAACCATCCAACATGGCAAGAATTTGTGAATCTTCTACATCCAAAACTAAGCGAGATGATGGCAAAACCTCGGCATTGGCATACAGCTTTTCCCCTTATGGGAACGTTGCTTTGCGTAAGCC